CGAAACCCCGAGAGTTACCTTCCTCCGACGGAGATACTTTTTGTTGCTGTTGTTGTTGCTGCTCAAATCGTCTTTGCGGGAAGGACCCGGCCGTAAGGCTTGCTCCGGGCTTGGCTTATTTTCCTTCTGAGGGTCGCTCCTGCAGCAAGGCGGTCGTTGCGTCGTCTTTGCAGCGTGCTGAGAAGAGATCCTAAGTCTAGAATCTTAATTCAGGGATGGGGGGGAATACAACGAGGGGCTATAAAGGAACGCTTTTTTTTTTTTTTTCCTTTCTTCTCTTTTTAGATCGATCTAGTGCCTTGGAAGTAGAGAAAAAGTTAATAAAGACAGCTTTCCAGCCAGTGCAGAGGCGGTAAGAGATTGCTTCCCCAGTCTCCTAAGGATATATGGAGGGGGTTGTCAATGGTTAGCTTATTTTCTCCGCTTCTTGAGTTCCCTTTCCAGGGCTGTTTCTTGTTCTTCCTCTGCGTGCGTGGTGGGTTATTCTGATTACATTTTTTTTTCCTTTTTTTTGTGTGTGCTGTTCTTTCTTCTGGACTTTGCGAGCGGTTCCCGCGGGCAGGCCGAGCACCCCCCGAGCGACCCCGGTGTCGCCTGGCCTGGGGGAGAGGTGCAGCGGCAGAGGGAAAAATCATAAATTGCAATAAAAAAGAACCCCAGCTAGCGTGAAAACTTCCGAGGCTGAGCCTTGCTGTCCTGAGCCTGGCGTAGCCGTCGCTGAAATCAATTGCTCTTGCGACTGACTGAAACCACGGGGATCGGGCCCCGGGTATTTTCGTAGCTCAATAAATTTGCTACCAGTCACTCTGAAAACTTTTTACATTTGGCGATCTATTTTTTAAAAAAATAACAACAACAACAACAAAACCAGTGCTACCTACTTAAGTTAAAAATATTGTGCCAGCCCAATCTGATTAGAAATCCTATTAAATATTTTTTTTTTTCTGTGTCATTTTTTTTTCCAGGCCCCAGAACCAACTTGATGCCGCTATGGTTCTATCGGCGTTGTCATCATCATAGTTAATTTTTTATTGTTGTTGTAATGATTGTAAAAAAAATAAATCTCTGTATAGTTACAACTTGTAAGCATGTCCGTATATTAAAACTAAAAAGGAAAAAAAAAAACAACCAAACCAACCCCGCTTCTGTACTATCATCTGGATTAGCTGAGTTTGTGAGGTTCTTTGGAAGTCCAGTGAGAATTAGGTGTTTCGATTTTTTTTTTTTGGTTGTTGTTTGTTTTTGTACATACAGTAAAAATGTACATATGTGTGAACCAAATTGTACAAGAAAGTATATATTTTTGGCTAATAAAGAAACTGTTGCCACTTTGACTACACTCTCTTTTCCCACCTCTGGAGTTATTTTTCTCGCCCCCCTCCCATCCCGTTTCTGTTTTTCCGTGGTGGCCGAGGCCGCGCTGGGGCCGCGGCGGGAGCGGCGCATCCTCGGGCGG